TTTTATTTATTTTTGTTGTATCTCTTATTAAGTGTTTTTTCTTCAACCATCAAAATAAATTAAGTTTGGAGAACTTTCACGGCTATCGAGGCAGGACTGTGACGCAGAGTTAATGAAAGTTACATAGAATAGCAGGGTTCAGAAGGAACCAAACAAAAAAAGAAAATTAAAGCTACACTACGCTACAACATCTTCATCAGGATCCGTAACGGATCGAAAGTGAGTTAGTGGAGCATACGGCGGAAGGCGGGTGCTCTCTATGCCCTCTATGGGGCAAGGGCTAAGACCGGTGGAGGTTATGTCACCGGGCCGGTGAGCTGTTCCAACGATTTCCGCAGGAGAATAATCTCGGCCCCACACCAAGGTCGGCTCCCGAAGAGAACTCCCGTCAAGGGTGGGAGTTTGGTGTAGGGGCAGAACTTTGGAAGAGCTGGATGGGATTTTTCCGTTTTTCCGACTTTTCCAAGGAGACCCGAGTGATGTTCGCACGTACGAACTGGTGTTTTTGCCCTGCTTAAATAAGAGCTTGCCGATCTCAATGCTCCGCTTCGAAAGTTCCGTTGCACTAAATTGCACTAGCGAATTGATTTTTAGTTCGATTTAAATATAAAACTTATATAACTTATGTACACAAATCGGTATGTGTGTGAACGGAACGGCGGACCGGGGAGATTTTTTGACAGATGTGAAGAGCCGATTCACACTGGCATCATCAGTCATCAGGCATAAAACAACCAATTTTTGGTCTCAATTGTGAAACTTCAAATATTTTAAATTGGTCATTTCATTCGATATAATGAAGCATAACATATATGTACAATAAACGTTATCCGTTGGACTCTCATAAAAAAAGCAAGAGATATTCCACCAAATTAGAAGCAGCCAAGGCCAAGCCAACTTCCTGCTGCAATTTTAAAGGGATTCCAAAGAGTAACGTTATATAGAGCTTATGTGTATAGTTTTATTATAGCCAAAAAAATCGCCAATTTATTATTTTCAATATGTGATTTATCACAATTTAGCCAAAAACGTTGTCTTCGTCCTCAGTTTTTTCTTATGGATTGCTGATGGTGGATGGTGCCAGTGGTAATAGAGGTTTCACATCTGTCAAAAAATACCACCGTTTCCTGTAGATTTACTGTGTGGGCAGTACGTTTTTATGGGATATTTATAGGCTCTGCACACTGAGCCCATCCCGGGGAAACGGTGGGAATTTTTCCTCTATCCGTCAAAAACAGCGGAAAATTTATTATTGCATTTATTTTGTCTGTGGCTCACCATCAAAATATTTTCTTGCTTGACGTGGTATACGCCCTAAAAAAACAAATGCCAGGAAGGCTTTTCAGTCCGCAGAACAGATACGATCTGCAATCGAAAAATATTGTGTAGACCGTAATGATTATGAAAAACTTACTTATTTATATGTCTTTACACTTCCAAAGGATCATTTAAAATTTTTTTTTTTTGTGCTGATCAGGTCCTGGACGAGCTTTTCCTGCCTTTCATCTTGCTATACCTTCTTCCAGAGATAGTCCTTCTGCTCTTCTATGCGTTCTCTAGATCTATACTTACTAGAATACTTACCACTGGAGTTTTCTGCCTCTTCTTCCATTTTATATTTGCTTTGTTTTACGCTGTTGTTTTTTTTTTTTGTTCATTTTGTCACAATTTTTTACGTTTTCGTTGTATATGACAATTATTAATTTTTCTAGACATTGACATGCATGACTTGCATCTTGCAAGAGGCGATGCAATTACTGCACTGTCAAGTGTCAAGTGTCAACCAGCAGAAGGCTGTTACGCGAGCATGCAGGAAAGATAGCTGTAAGACTAATATTCGAGGAAAATTAGCACTAAAGGTACTAAGAGAACTAGGCATGCATTCAAATTACAAATACAATACCACTACAATTACTTATTACTATAAAGGTGTTTAAAATTAGAAATTCAATAAGAGGAAAATAATTAGTGGTGGGTATAATATGGTAGAGGGAATTATAATCCACGCATAAGACCCTAATAGGCTCTGCACACTGAGTGCACCCCGGGGGAATGGTGGGATTTTTTGACAGATGTGAAACTCCGATTTACACTGGCACCATCCACCATCCGTCAAAAACATCTAATGCCTATGCCTAAACAAGTACATTAAATTTGCGCGGAAGAGCCCGATAGCAGCAACAGTTGTGGTGATTTTAATCAGTCAGCAGAACAGATACGATCTGCAATCGCAAAATATTGTTTAGACCATAATGCAAATTATAAACTTATTTATTTATATTTCTCAGCACTTCCAATAAATCATTCTGGAATTTTTTTTGCGTGTGGATGAGGCTATATTTTCATGCCTCATATCATGTTCTTCCTTCTTTCTGTGAAGGTCCTTCTGCTCTTCGAATCGCTCTCTGGCGATCTCTGCCATCCAAGAAGTGTCGACTTTTTTGGTTCGCTTTTGCGGGGGCCTTTGTAGCCAGAAAAGGTGCTAGAGGTACATGATCCGTCCAGATTCGACTCGATAATGTCCGATAATGTTATTAAAGAATAAATTATGCATAACAAAGCAATTACAGAGCATACAAATATTTGTTCTATGTTGGCAGTCGTCTGCCATTTATTCGCCACACACTTGCAACTTCAGCCTGGCAGTCTCGGCCATGCCGCATTCAATCTCATCGCCAGCCTTGAATGCATCCGAGCCATTGGGCATGATTGTTGTTGTTTTTTGTTTATTGTGTCACAATCATTGTTTACGTTTTCGCAGTGAATTCCATTTTTTCGTTGTGAGTGACAATTATTCAGAGTTGCATTTGAAAACGTGCGGTTTAGGAACATCCAAGCTGGATGGTGGACTAACTGGGAAATTTTCAGAACGGCATAACCTTACGGACCATCCCCGAAATGGATGGTGGATGGTCGTCAGTGTAAATAGCCTATAAACGGTTCATGCAAGGAATAATTCGATCTACAAAGTGGAAGGAACAACGGTATAAAATTTCTAGTCAGTCTAATAGGAATCGTGAAGTTTATGCTGCTCAACAGATCAGGGCTGTCTATGTCACCCCTGATCAAGTTGTGCATAAATATCACACCAAGCATTTTTCTACGGTTAACTAAGGATGGGAGGTTTATTAATAGTAGTCTACTAGAGTAAGATGAGAGTCTTACACCCGCATCCCAGTTAAGGCCCCGTAAAGCAAAGAGTAAAAAGTTTTTCTGTACTGATTCTATACGGTCCTGGTGTACTTTGTACTGAGGGCACCAAACACAGGAGCCGTATTCTAAGATCGGACGAACAAGCGAGGTATAGAGAGTCTTTGTTATGTAGGGGTCGTCAAAATCCTTTGACCACCTCTTTATAAACCCAAGCACGCCCATGGCCTTATTTACCATGGTAAAAATGTGTTCAGAAAACTTTAGCTTGGCGTCTAATATAACACCAAGATCATCCACCAAGGTAATTCTCTGAAGATAACCACCAAATAGTGTATAGGAAGCCAACAAGGGGCTAGAACAATGAAATGTCATAGCTTTGCATTTCGAGGCCTTAAGGTGTAACAAATTTGCACAACACCATGACTGAAAGTTATTGAGATCGGATTGCAAGCGAGAATGAAATGAAATGTCCTTGTACTGGACACAGAGTTTAACATCATCCGCATACCTAATTACTCGAGAGTATGTTAATACCGAAGGCAAGTCATTAATAAAGAGTGTGAAGAGTAAGGGGCCTAGTAGTTCGCGCCTAGACATATTTCAAATCGTGTTTCAATTTTCAAAACGTTCAAACGAACTTCCAAACAAAGCTGCTGCGATTCTTAAGGAATTTAAAACGTCACGTTTATTGTACATATTATATATTTTATTCGTACGACAATACTTGATGAGACAACTCTAGAAACGAAACGAAGATAGCTCGATAGGTAGACGAAGAAACTGCTACAGTGGACCGTGCAAATAGTGAAAAATTATACGGATTTTCGTTAGGTTTGATTGTTTTGATGTTTTTTTGTAGTAAAGAATTAAAGAATTAAGACTAATATTAAGGATGTTGGGACAATTAAAGCAGTAAAATGTACAACTGTATGGATAATATAATTAATTAATTATTTTCACTTACATTATTATAAAAAACAATTTGACCTTCGCCTCCACAGCAAGAGCCGCTAATTCCACGTAGTAGAAATGCATACCATCTTTTTTGTGGTTATTAACTGTCCATGTCTATGGTAACGCCGCCATGCTCGTCAAAAGGTGTTATCTTCGTGGCGAAGATCTGAAATGCAGACCTAAACAGTCAGGAATACTGACTAAAAGGCAAAACGTGTTTAAAAAAATGTGAAAGAAAATTGACCAACAAAAATTTTTGATATTTAACAAGTTAAAAATTCTCCAAGACAACAAGACAGATTTCTTTCCTGAGTTCAAAGGCATGAAACCCGCAGTTTTTATTTAGAGGTGCGTGGGTAACGAAACCCGACACGACCCGATTGCATATAAAGGTTTACTACGTAGAAAATATAATTTTTGCCTGTCGTTAAGCGTAATACTTTAATAAGATACATATCTCTCTAGCGAAATCGCCGTATATTTCGGCGACTGTAGAATATGACCAGGTTTACATATGTTTTGGTTTCTAAGGTAATTTAGACAACAAAGGTTTTTACTGGCTAAAAACAGGAAATGCTTTTAATCGTTTTCATACGAATATCTTCCCTGTTTTCGCCAGTAAAACTCATCTTGTTTGAGCACTATTCTATATCGAAAGTATATACTCTGAAGAAATTAAGAATTTAAGCGCAACTAGTATATCTTCTCATAGTGAGAACATTTATTATATGGTATCGATGAAGCGTTTAAACATCGATAAAAATTTTCTGTACTTTAACACATCTTGTTTTTTGCATAAATATAATCTCCTATGTTTTATGTTTTCACGAATGTTAAATTTGAATGTTTTAATAAAAATAAATTGCTGCAAAGCAAAATAAAAAAAAATTATTAAATTATATTAACGAGAGCATTACGGAAATTGCTTATTTGGGAACAATGAGCAATGTTGATGAAATAAAAATCGATCAGCCTGCTCTTAGTTTTGAAAATTGTATGAGAAATTATTAAAATGATGTAATTGAACATCCAATAACAATTTCTATCTGTTCGAACAGCACCCGAGAACGATGATGAGCACAGAAAACGGCTGGAGATAGAAGAATTAATTGCTCAGAGCGACAACCAAAATATATCTTTGAATACTCTAAAAAAGTTAGCCTTGACGTCCTATGGATTGGTAAACGATAATTTGCGACGGATTCTGTGGCCTCAGTTGGCTGGCGTTGATGTGACTACGTTAGAGCGAGCTCCTACTCTTGATGAATTGCAAAACCACCCTGAATACAACCAAGTAGTCTTGGATGTAAATCGGTCTCTGAAAAGATTTCCTCCTGGAATACCATATGAACAACGTATTGCACTTCAGGACCAACTTACCGTTCTAATACTACGGGTTATTAAAAAGTATCCGAATCTGCGCTACTATCAAGGTTATCATGATGTGGCAGTTACATTTCTCCTGGTTGCTGGAGAAGAAGTGGCGTATGCTATAATGGAGCAACTGTCCACCACGCACTTCTCCGAGTGCATGCAAGAGACAATGGAGGCCACCCAAAGGCGGCTGATGTTTATCTGGCCTGTTGTAAATTTTGAGAACCCAGAACTTTACCAGTTTCTTCAACGTTCTACGGTAGGCACTTTGTTCGCTTTACCGTGGTACTTGACCTGGTTTGGACACAGTTTAAATTCATACAAAGCTGTAGTCCGTCTATACGACTACTTTCTTGCATCACCCATGTATACACCAATCTTCGTGACGGCAGCGATTTTACTGCATCGTTCAAATGAAATATTTAAGGAGGACTGTGATATGGCATCAGTGCATTGTCTTTTATCAAGGGTATGATTGATTTAATTAAGTCAAAGAAATTTAAGTTTATTTTAATATTTGCAGCTACCAGAAGATTTGCCATTTGAAGTTCTATTGAAAACTTCCAGCAAGCTATATGATAAGTACAGCTTGACTGTAATAGAAAAGGAAGTTGAAATTCTAATTCTTAAAGAGTAAGTACAGCTTTCTGAATCAAAATAAAATTATAATATTTCACTTCTGACAATAGAAAAGAACAGAGGAACGTCGAAGAAAAGCTGCTTCTGGAGCGACGAAAGAAGCTTACGCGCTCTGTGTCCAAAAATCCAAGCTACAGCTTAAGCCACTGGTTCCCAAACTTATTGACACCAAAGTCTTTGCTAGTGACAACAGCTGTTTCTATTGTAGTTGGAGTTTGTGCATATTACTACAAGAACCAGTATCTGGCGGCGGGGATTAGCTGAGTTTCGGATGCTTATTTTTTTCTAGTCCCGAGATATATAGTCCGATTTGAACCCATTCGTCCGAAATGGATTTGTATGGCTGAGGTTTCGCTTTAACGTCTTAATGCCTTTCAAATAAATAGGTAAAATTGGCTTGGCCAAGAATTCTTATCTTTTAAATAAGTGTGCTTAAGTTGATTTTATGAATTCTAAATTGAATGAATTTATCTTTTTTGGGCATATGAATGTAAATAATAGTGAATAATTATTTGTTTTTACGAACAAAAATATTACAAATAAACAATAAGTATAACATTAAGATGGTTCTAAATATTGAATGAACTTTTTTTCCAATTGAATTTGTTCAGTGCTTTTTATTTTTCAAGCATATTCTCTAATAAGCATATGAACGAGTTCAGATTTATCTTATTCATTTCAAAAAATACGATTCTTTTGGTTTTATTTTGCCGGCAGCTCAAATTTAGAGTTATTACTTGATGTACATTTTCACCGAATCTACTGTCTCCTAATATTAAACGTGTATCCCACGAAAAGGACTCCATGAAAAACATGGTGTCTTTGGAGCACTTTAACTTGTGTGTTGCTACTTCTGGTTGTCGTGCTGCAAACACAACGGGCACAAGCCGGTTCATTTCAGGACTAAAGTAGGAAAATAAAATTGACGATTCGGCTCTGTTGATATCTAAGTTGTAATTCATGTAGTAAGCCGATAAACTTCGAATGGCCAGCAAAAAATCGTATGGGTTTTGAAATCCATATTTGTGCGACAGCCGGAGCGTCTGTTTCTCTGTTATATTTCCAATAAGGTAATCTACAGCCAAATGAAGAACCTTGTAAAAATATTTAAAATTAGGTAAACAAATTTTAATATCATAGGTCTACCTCGACAAAGATTTCTTTGTTATCTATATTTTTTAGTAGGTCCATACTAAGGTTGATCTGAGGGAATGTGTATGAAGAATGCGTGTATCGGATTTTCATGACATATGAGCAGTGTGACCGACCCTTAGAAATATACCGAAATATAAGTCTCAAGTTTCAAAATATACCGTAAATATACTTACGGACCATTTGTATTCAAGTTCCATTATATTCCTCGTTTTTGATAATCGTTTGAATATTACTAGGTAACTAGGACCTTCAACACTAACAAATTTTATCCGATCGATGATTTAATTTTCTAAAAGATTGGATAAGGTCAAAACATAAAACGTATTGGAGTATGGAACGTCCCAACATATTGAGCTGAAAATTCCCACGACGAAGAGTGGAAATTCCTACCCAGAAAATGAGAGCAAACAGCTATCGATACTATCAACTATATTTTTCAGGTATACAGAATGCAGTGTATATAATCACTAACCATACAGTATATAGATGTGCCAGTTCATACAACGAAAGCGTCACACACTGGCTTGCGCGATCAATACCCCAGAGTGACGTCATCATGAGAGAGAGAGCGCAGAGAGAACATCTTTGCATGTGTTAGTACACACGCAATATCCCAGTGGAACAAAACTTCGTAAAAGATATCGCAAACGAGAGCTAAGCGAAACTCAGCCGTGTAAAACTATTGAATTGAGATCCGAAAACGATAAGAAAATGAATCACTAGTCGCTCAGTGTGTGGCAGTGAAAGTTTCATCTTCGGTAGCTCAAACGGATCTTGTAAGGAAGTTCTCAGGCCGAGGTACAGCTTCTCAGTCTGTCCAGGGCCCGGTCCTTCCCCACAGCAAAATCTGTTGTGTGAGGACCTAAGGGGAGAGCCGCTCGTGGCGAAAGCGCGCCCGTGGGGTGGATCGTGGGGCGGTCGGGCCTGGCCCGGCCACGAGGCGTGGGTGAAGCCGTGCGTGGGAGCTGCAGAGACGTGCGTTGCGGGTCATGTGTGGCGGGAGAAGAAGTTTGGATCAGGGATCGGAAGGGTATGGGATAGGGGAGCCCAGCTTAGCAGATGCCGCATGATCCACGACTCACATCTGCGTCGCCAGGTCCCCAGGGCGAGGGTGTAGGAGAGGGAACCCAGCTTTGCGAATGCCGCGTGAATCCACGACTCACATCCAGCATCGCCGGGTCCCCAGGGGGAAAAGGTACAGGAGAGGAGAAACCCAGCTTGGTGAATGCCGCGTGATCCACGACTCACATCCACTTCGCTGGGCCTCCCGGGAAAAGGGAAGAGAGGGGGAGGGGGAGTGAGTGACTCCTACGGGCGAATGTTCTCAGACAGGTGGGTGGAGGTTGGTGTCTTTATTTTTTCGGATCATTTCCCTACTTAAAATCCCGCGCCTGCAGCGGGGAAATAAGCGCCAAAAAACTTATATTAAACCACATGTTCCGTGACGCGCCGCGTTTACCTGAGCGCTGGCGCCTTCCAGCAAGCTTTGCGGGATGCGACGGTCAGGCGTGCTGACCCGCCAGGCGACTGGGGCGATTGGCCACTCCTGCTCCTCCTGCAGCGCGTTTAGCTCGGGCATCTCGTCGAATGCTGTGAGCAGTCCGCCCGCTTCTGCTTCTGCCAAGCCCAATGACAGGTCGCTGTCCTCCTTTGGGTGGCTCGGGTTTCCTGGTTCGGCCTCTCGGGTCGTGCAGCTCGTCGATTTCGGGTTCGGTGCGTTGGGGTCGGTGGGAACTGGCGATAGCCACTTTATTGGTGCGTGGTCCAGCGGCTGCCAGTCGGGATTCACCCTTCTTTCCGGGGCTGTCGCCTCCTCCTGCGCGTCCCACTCCTGTAGTCTGGCGTGCCACCCGTCGTCCTAGCTGGTGTCCGGGATCGGGCCGTTTGGGTTCGCCTGTCCTCCCAAGATCCAGGCTACCTCCTCGTCTCCGTCATCCCTGGGTATCGGGGACACGGGGCCGTCCTGTAGGCCGGGTTCCTGGAGTAGTTGGGGCAGCTCATTGCCGGTTACGCGGCTGGGTGGCTCGTGCTCATCCTGAAGGCCGAGGTTCCGGAGCCGTCGGGGCAGCGCATCGCCCAGACTGTCGTCGCGGATCCGTAGCGGAGTGGTATCGTCCTCTCCTAGGAGCGGTACCTCTTCGCCGCTTGCGGTGTCGTTGTCTGCCGCCGGGATGATCTCCCTCTTGGGCCTGGGTGGAGTGATGGGCCGTGGATGGGCGAGCAGCAGCTGCAGGATCTTATCGGCGTCCTTCCAGGCGGTCCAAGGGGCCACGTCCACCGCGATGTTGGCTGGAGTGTCCTTCTGGCAGTTGGCCGGCCCATCTTCGTCCTCGCTCACGTCTGAGTATGGGCACGTTGCGGCCCGCTCGGCCTCCAGTTGGCGGTTTAGCTCCCGGACGGAGTGCTTGACCCATGGACGGCCACCCGCTTTCCCGAAACGTCGGTCGTACAGGACCTCTTCATCGGCTGGTGAACCCTTCGTCGGAGCTGCTGTCGTAGTTCGGCCGTGGGGTCAGCGGGTTTTCCATGCGGTACAGGTAATAGGGCGGTGGTGGTGGGGACCGCAGCCGCAGCTTGTGCGCGACTGGGGAGCTGCTCTGTTCCTCGGAGTTGGGGTCCAGGCTGACGTGCCCTGGCTCGACGCGTCTTCGAGTCGCGCGTGGGGTGACGGCGGTGCCTGTTCCTTGGCCTGGATGCTTGCGGCGGCGTGGGCGTCTTGGTGGCTCCTGCTGGGCCCGTCCTGCTCGGACCTCCCCGTCTGAGTCCGATGACCGCATCGCCTCCACTGTGATGATTCCCGACGGATTGTTTCGCGACGTGCTCGGACGGACGACGTCGTTGAGCCATGCCCAGGTCGTGGTTGTCGGTCGGCGGGACGACGGTGGGCCTTCGGGGCGGGCCCGACGTCGGGATGGCCTAGGTGGCCTGGGTGGTCGTGGTATGGCTCCTGTCGCTGGGCCATGCTGCGTTGTGTTGCCTGGTTCTGCTTGCGGGTCCGGGGCGTGGTGTCTTGTTGGTGGTTGGCTGGTCGTGGACCGTGGTTGCCTTGAGCTGGGCGGCGACGCACCCCTAGGATGCCCCTCCGGGCCATCCTCTGCCTCTAGAGGCTGTGCGTCGCTCGTCCTTGGGTTGTCCATGTCGGATCTGGTGGGGGGAAGAAACCTTGTTTGGTTAGAACCTGACCTGTGCCACTGATGTGCCCTGTGCCCTGGGTTTCCCTGATCGGTGCATTTTCTAGTTCTGGCTATTTCTTACTCTAATCCCTTAAGGGGAGTTAAGCTATCTTACTGCGTGTGTACGCGGTTGCCCCTTGCGGGGCGAGGACATTATGGCAGCGCACCACCATAAGTGGCCCTCATGAACTCGCGGTTTCCCTGGTGCTGGGGTCGTCGTCATCGTTGTCTTCGTTGTCTTCGCTAGTGAGTGTGTGCTCGTTGTCGTGGTAGGCCTTGAGGTCGGCTAGTCCGGCCGTTCGTCGTTGTCTTCCCGGGTGCTTCTGGAGTCGTGCTATGGTGGGAGAAATAAATTTAATCACTTTGTAAGGCCCCTCATATTTGGGAGCCAGTTTGGCAGCGAAGTTGTCCGCCGCTTTGGACAGGTGATGTTGGCGTAGCATCACGAGCGTCCCGATCGTGGGTCTCCATTCGCGTCGACGTAGGTTGTAGGTCCTGCTCTGCGTCTGTGATGCCTGCTGGGTATTTTCCTGTACGATGGCGAAGATTTCCTTGAGTCGCTTGGCCTTGTCGGTTGGGGTCTCTGTCACTTCGCCTAGTCCTGGGGTCGTCTCTTCGTACAAGGCTCCAGGCAACCGAGGTTCCCGGCCGAGTACGATGAATGCTGGGCTGAAGCCTGTGGTGTCCGATGTGCTGCTGTTGATGGCTAGGCTGAGTTCGGGCAGCAGCTCGTCCCATGTCCACTGGTCTCCATCGATGTACTGGGCGATCATGGTTTTGATCGTCCTATTGGCTCGTTCCGTGGGGTTTTGTTGTGGCGTATAGGGCGCCGTATACTCCAGCTCCATGCCTGCTAGTTTGCAGAACTTTCGGAAAGAGTGACTTGTGAATTGGGTCCCGTTGTCGCATACGAATTTCCGTGGTGTTCCGAAGCGGCTTAGGATCCGTTCCCGGAAAGCGGTCTCCAGTAGTGCGGTGGTGGCCTTGCGGAGTGGGACCAACTCCACCCACTTGCTGAAGGCGTCGAAGAACACCAGCAACATAGTATTGCCGTGCTTGGATCGGGGCAATGGTCCAATGAAGTCGGCGCAGACGATGTCCAGTGGTTCCTGGGCTTGGCGGGTGTGCATCTTCCCTCCTGGTTTGGTTTGACTCACCTTGTACTGCTGGCACTTGGTGCACTGCTGGATATATCGGGCGATATCTCGGTGCAGTCCGGGCCAGTAGTACCTCTGGGCTATTCGTGTCGCCGTCTTCCTGATTCCGAGGTGTCGGATGGTCGTGGCACTCTTCTAGCACGCGTCGGCGGTGGTCCTTGTGGACACATAGTTTCCATTTGATAGGGTCTTCTTCGCTGGTTCTGCTGCTGGCTCGTTTGTATATTTGGTCGCTCTCGATGATGAACTCCGGACGTCCTTCCGGCTGTTCCTGGATCCGCTTGCGGGGCCTCTGCAGCCAGGGGCAGGGGCAAGGGTCCCGGATTGCCCAGACTACGGCAAGGCACTCTTCCTCGGTGGCCGAGTAGTTTTCCTCTGCCTTGAGTAGTCGACGGCTTGCGTAGGCGATGACTCTTTCTGCTCCGTCGATCTGTTGTGTCAATACTGCTCCGAGGCCATACGAACTGGCGTCCGTTTGGAGTACGAATCGCTCGGCGAAGTCGGGGCATGCCAGGACTGGTGCTTGCGTAAGTCTTTCCTTGAGAGTCTCGAATGCCTGCTGTTGTTCGTCTGTCCACTCCCACTTTTGATCCTTTTTGAGCAGGTTGGTCATGGGCTGGACCACCGTGGCGAAGTTGGGGACGAAGCGTCGGTACCAGGATGCCATCCCGATGCAGCGTCGCAGTTCTTTCAGGGTGGTGGGCGG